AATGCCAAAGAATGCTCAAACTACTGCACAACAGCACTCATCTCACACACTAGCAAAGTAATGCTCAATATTCTCCAAGCCAGGCTTCAACAGTATGTGAACCGTGAACTTCCAGATGTCCAAGCTGGATTGAGAAAAGGCAGAGAACCAGAGATCAAATTGCCAACATCCATTGGATCATTGAAAAGGCAAGAGAGTTCCAGAAAAAATCTACTTCTGCTTTATTGACTATGCCAAAGCTTTTGACTGTTTGGATAACAACAGACTATGGAATATTCTTAAAGAGATGGGAATAGCAGACCACCTGACCTGCCTCCTGAAAAATCTATTTGCCAGTCAAGAAGCAACAGTTCGAACTGGACATGGAACAACAGACTGGTTCCAAATTTGGAAAGGAGTATGTCAAGGCTGTATATTGTCACCCTGCTTATTTAACTTATATGCAGAGTACATCACGAGAAATGCTGGGCTGGATGAAGCACAAGCTGGAATCAAGATTGCTGGGAGAAATATCAATAACCTCAGATATGCAGATGACATCACCCTTATGGCAGAAAGTGAAGGAGAACTAAGGAGCCTCTTGATGAAACTAAAAAGAGGAGAGTTCAAAAGTTGGGTTAAAACTCAACATTCAGAAAACTAAGATCATGGCATCCAGTCCCATCACTTCATGGCAAATAGATGGGGAAACAATGGAAACAGTGACAGACTATTTTCTTGGGCTCCAACATCACTGCAGCTGGTGATTGTAGCCATGAAATTAAAAGATGCTTGCTCCTTGGAAGAAAACCTATGAGCAACATAGACAGCATATTAAAAAGCAGAGACATTACTTTGTCGACAAAGGTCTGTATAGTCAAAGCTATGGTTTTTCCAGCAGTCATGTATGGATGTGAAAGTTGGACTAAAAGAAAACTGAGCACCTAAGAATTTATGCTTTTGAACTGTGGTGTTAAGGAAGACTCTTGAGAGTCCCTTGGACAGCAAGGAGATCCAACGAGTCTATCCTAAAGGAAATAAGTCCTGAATATTCATTGGAAGGACTGATGCTGAAGCTGAAACTCCAATCCTTTGGCCACCTGATGCAAAGAACTGACTCATTGGAAAAGACCCTGAAGATGGGAAAGACTGACGGCAGGAGTACAAGGGGGCAACAGAGGATGAGATGGTTGGATGGCATCACCAACCCAGTGAGCATGAGTTTGAGTAGCTCTGGGAGTTGGTAATGGACAGGGAAGCCTGGTGTGCTGCAGCCCATGGGGTCACAAGGAGTCAGACACAAATGAGTGACTGAACTGAACTGATGTTACAGAAATTCAGCTTTTTAACTTTGTATTATTTACTAGGGTAGATGGCTTGTTACCTTTTAGTTATCCATAAATTTTGCCAAAAGTGTTTATTTTTCCCATTCTTCCCATAACTAACTTTATCAGCTACTTCATTATATACTGATCTGACAAGAATAGCATCCATACCAGTAATTTACATTATTTTCATTTTCTACATTATTTTTAATACCACAAAACCCTCAAATTCTGTTCCTACTTTTGTTCTCTTTCCTCCCTCTCTCATAAAGATTATTTTAATGCTGAGATTAGAGATAAATCTTCTATTATCTTCTATTAGAGATAAATCTTGCTTGATGTGGACTATATTGTGTTTGACTGGCAAATTCTGATATTTCAGAAAACTACTGCATTAAGTATTTATTTTTTAAGGGCCAAATTATAGTATCACATTATTTATAGAGAACCATTTTTGAACTGGACTTAGCAAAAGAATGATTACTTCTGTGTGATTTAGGGAAGTTTGGCTCCTGGGAGATTTAAGGCTTCTTTTGGGTGAAGAGTCATCTGTGTTAAGGCTCCTTCTCACTACACACTCAAAACTCATGGAGAATCTGAAGCCAAATTAATCCTATATTAACAACCCCCCCCCCCATATTGTAATTTCAGCGTGCACAATGGGATTCATAATTTACTCCCATGCTTTTCAATTAATATATTAATTGCTGGCTAATCTTTTAAACAAGCTGCCAAAATTTTAGCAATTTTGGAGCATTCTAGCCTCAGTCCTCTGAGAAAAAACAAACAAAACATGTAGAATCTCATTTCTGGAGTTATAAGTCCAATAGTGATTTTCTGTGTGTGAACTTTGCTAGACTCTGTGAGGTGCCTGGAGTGTCCTGTAAAATTAATGCTCACACTTCGTAAGAAAGTACATATGTAAAACATAGCCAACTTTATGGAAAGTTGCTTTACTATAGGCCCATTGCAAGCTATTAGACAAGAGATACATAACTTTAAATTTATATTTTAACTATTTAGAATTTTCATTATTTTTCAAATTCAATTTCAAAAGTTTGAATCATTAATAAACTTTCAGAAGAGTTGATATTTATGAGCATGGGAATATTTCATAATTACTAAATAATTGTGGTTGTGGTTTAGTTGCCAAGTTGTGTCCAACTCTTGCGATCCCAGGCTACAGTCAATGGGATTCTCTAGGCAAGAATACTGGAGTGGGTTGCCATTTCCTTCTCTAGGGGATTTTCCTGACCCAGGAATTGAACCCGGGGTGTCCTGCATTGCAGGCAGGTTCTTTACCGACTGAGCTAAGAGGTAGGTAATGTAATGTAATTTAATTTATTTTATTTTTAATATCAGAAAAGAGATAATTTTAACAGGGATGACATACAGATGGACTGAGTTTTACATTAATTTATTTCTCAGCTATATAACTACAATGAAAATTAAAGGCAAAAATATTTGTGCATAGTCTCTTCAAAAAGATGTTAAAAAGGTAATAAATACCTATAACAGAATATTCAAATCAGGTATCTTTAGCAATTTAAAAATGCTGAGTTCATTTTTTTTTAAGAATCAAATTCTATTTTTTAATCTTAAGAAGATGTATTAGCAATTTCAAAAATCACAAAATAAGACTTTAGGAGCTGAAAAGTTATGAGACAAGTTATTTTGTAAAAGTTAAAGAAAAAATATAGACAAAGATATTACCACAACAAAAGAATGCAAGTATATTGTAAAGTTATAATTTGAGTCAGTTGCAAAATGATCAATAAGGTAATACATTTTCTACACGTGTATTAAGTACAAAAGAATGGTTTAGAGAAAATTATTTCTCTTTTTTTAATAATCTGTTTCACAGGATGGCTTATAAGACTTTCAATGAGATGCAAACAAGTGTTATTCCATTAAGGGACTAAAGGCTGAAGAGCTGATGTTCTGCCTTGTGGCGGGGAAGGCAAGAACAAAATCATCATTTTGATGAGCAGCAAATGATGACGATAGTAAAGATAAAAACTCAATGAACATGAACTTGAGCAAACCCCGGGAGATAGTGAAGGACAGGGAAGCCTGGCGTGCTGCAGTCCCTGGGGTCAGACATGACTGAGTGACTGAACAGCAACAGCAAAAACCCATAGAGCGATATTATGATAAAGTCAGAGCTTAAAGAGAACGCCTCTGCACCTCACTGTGCGTTACAGAGGCACACAGCAACTCTGGGACCGCTCTCACCTTGGCTGGCTGTATCAACCCCATGGTCACAAACTGTATGCCAAGCGATGGAAACAACTCTTTCAGTGTGGAAGACGGAAGAGTGTCAGTTTAGAAGAAAAATAGAAGTTTTTGGATTCATTTCCAGGGGACATCAATTTTAAAACTTCTTACAGAGGCATTCTTCATGGTGATGAACTGGTGAAATAGATTCTAGTGTTGGTGTTTAGTCACTAAGTCATGTCTGACTTTGTGACCCCATGAACAACAGCAGGCCAGGCTTCCCTGTCCTTCCCTATCTCCTGGAGTTTGCTCAAATTCATGTCCATTGAGTCAGTGATGCTATCCAACCATCTCATCCTCTGTAACCCCCTTCTCCTCCTGCCTTCAATCTTTCCCAACAGCAGGGTCTTTTCCAATGAACTGACTCTTCACATCAGGTGGCCAAAGTATTAGAGCTTCAGTTTTAGCATTGGTCCTTCCAATGAATATTCATGGTTGATTTCCTTTAAGTGAAATATTCTAGTAGCAATTCTAGATAGCATTAATGTGTGTGTGTGTGTGTGTATATGTGTGTGTGTGTGTGTGTGTGTGTGTGTGTGTGTATATATATATATATATATATATATACATATACTAAAGAGTTTTCCTAAAGACAACCAAAATTGACTTGCAAATGAAAATCTGCAGCAGAAAATTCTTTCCAGCAGTTTGTAAATGCCATAGCTGAGTTTCAATTCATAGTATCATACCAAAAGTTATATATATGAAAATTTCTAAATGCAAAATAAAATATGCACTTTAATGGAGAATATCAAAACAGATAACTCTAAAAGAAAATAAGATTCCCAAGTATATTTTGCCTACAGAAAGTATCAACTGTTTTAAATTCTATCTCCCGCCAAAAGAATTCCTTTAACCAAATCAGAAAATAATGGCATCATACATTAAGATGAGAAAATGATTTCAAATGTATGCTAAACCAAAAATAAATAATTTAACTATAAATGTACGGAGTGTTATCTGCACAGACTATCACTGATTTTAGTGTGTGAAATATAACTGTGTCACTCTCAGTAGGAGTCCTTGCTATATAATATGAGAAACCAATTCGATCTTGTTAAGAGTCCAGCTTCTATAATGAAGTTTAGGACTCCAAGGGTAGACTGGCTTGGGTCATTAAATCTAACTTCAGTAAATAGTAATCAGTTGGAATGAAAGAAAGAGGAAAACAACAAATAGAGGGCTGAATTATTCTAGAGAAAAGAGCATCATGGAAAAACCACTCTGATCCGAGCTACCTAGGTAATTTTAACTTTTAATCTTATTTAGCACCTTTTATCTCTAGGTTTAGTTTAAAATGACTGATCCCAGAATATTATTAATATTTGAACTATTGAAGAGTTGATGATACAGACATGATTTATCATCATGAAGTCATGTTTCTTTAAGGAAAAACATGCATATATTCTATATACTTACTGGAGGTGTTGATACTTGGGTTATTCTTAACTGGTTTTCCAAATCTTGTACTTTGTTTTTAAGTTCCATATTTTCTGTTTCTAAGTCTTGAATCTAAAAAGTAAATGATTATTGAACAATCTTCAGACATTTATTCTTGGAAAATATTGGCTGATAAATTGGTTACATTAATGAATAGGATTTTACATTATTTAAACTTTTAATGTATTTTTTTGTGCATTGGGTGAAATTTATTTTATAAAGCTTGAGCTATATCATAGAATTCTAGGTCACTGGAAAGACATACTATTAAATTTAAAATATGTTTTTACGTGTGTGCAAATTTCATGTTCCTAATACCTCTGTGTTTTCCTGTAGCGCTATGCAAGCTGTACCCATAATCTGGAGTATAACCGCAAGACAGTGAAACTTGCTTAGGATGATTTTGAAGAGAGTGGAGAAAGGGTGTAATTTAATTATAAAGGAATCTGATCTGCATGGGAAACCACTTACCCAGCATCTGCTGCTTCTGCTGCTCTGATCCCCATGAGAAGCATCAGGAAGTGAAACAAAGTCACATGAGAACACTAAGTTCGTGTGGGAATTCAATATAAAATGGTTAAAACTGTGCAGGGGACCAGGAATGAAAAATCATAGGAACACAGTGAGAGCAGTTCCAATCAGTGTGGGGGGATTTAATGGCAGGGCTTCTAAATTTGTTTGATGGTATGCAAGTTTCCCTGTACTTACATCATATAAATGTAAAATGACAAGCTTAGTTTACTCACTCTTTTCTGTAACCCTGCAATCTGTTTTCTTGTTTCAACATCTTTTCCTCCAGATTCTAGAAATTTCCTGTACGCCAGGTCAAATGCTTGGCCGATTGTTAATGTTATCTCTTCAGCCTTTGTAAAAACCAAACAAAGAAGATTTGCAGTTTAATAATACTGTTAGACCATTCTTTGAATCAAGAAAAACATTAACATGACATATTTCAAAAGGGCAATGTCTAGGGGCAGAAGTGTAGTAAATGAGTAAAAGTAATCTATGCTAACATAATCATTCAAAGCCTAACCACGCACAACATAAAAGAGGAATGTTTTGGATATTAAATGAATAGCTGTTGAAGTTTGAAACAAGAGTCCTATCCAAATTCTCATCTCTTTTATCATAGCATTTCCCCCACTAGTTTGTTTTTCTCCTTTCCTCAAATATTTAGTGCCTATTAAATGAAAGCATAGTGCCAACTGCAGTTTTTCTTGTGGTTTTGCTACTTATTTTGGTTTCCTAGTGAAGAGGGTTTGTTAAACCTGGCAGGTAACTTGAATGAGGTTGGCTGGGTGGTGTCTGTGGAAAACCTGAGGTGTGCCTGCTCTAAAGGGAACAGCTGCTATTCAGTTCCAGTTAATTGTTGGAAATGAGCAATTCCAACCCAGAGTTGTCAATTTTAAATATGTGAGATGAGACCAGAAATATGAATTTTCATATGGAAAAATTTTAAGTGGTAGTAAACAATATTTTTTAAAACACAGTGTCAACTGAGAAATGTTCTGTCATCTGAATTTGGCCTCATAAAACAATTACCTCTGGTCTATTTACTAGGAACTGCCCCAGATGTCTAAGTCCACCAGCTCATTTTTTCTCCAATGATATTTCAGCTGATATCACAGTTTCTTAGTGGGAACAGTGTAAACACTAAATAAATATTTGTTTAATTAACATTATAAAGAAATTTTGTAAAGGCATTAATTGATTTAATGCATCACAAATATTTCATATTTAATGGTAAGAATTCCAGATGATGTAACAACTGGTAGCAATATTAAATCTTGTAAATGCCCTGCTTTTACTAATCTACTACAAATCTTAAAATTTTGCTATATCCTATATGCAATCTAAGTTAAAAATGTTTTACAAATAAAGCTCAGATTACATAATTAAGACATTGTTATTTTTGTAGTTCACTATTCATTTACAAAGGCTTTTAGACATAAAAAAATGCTATAGAGTCTAACCTGGTGAATTTAAAAAATGCAAAATATATGCCTACACTTATATAAGAGGACTGTCTTAAAAAAAAGATGGAAAACGACTGTCTTACAAAAAAGATGGAAAACAAGTTATATTAAAGAATACTAAATAATACTGAATAAATTAAAATGAGCTTAATGTATCTTCTTAATAGGACAATGTGTTTTCCTCTACTCAAGGTGTATAAGACAGATAATTATTTAAATGATAACATGGTCGATTCATCACTAATAATATTTGACTTCATTATTGGTTGTTTACAATAATAAGTTTTAAAAGCCATATTCACTTTTAAGGTATGACATATATCTTTAATTAAGATGGCATTTTTGTTGTTGGTCAGTTGCTCAGTAGTGTCCGACTTTGCAACCCCATGGACTGCAGCACATCAAATTTACCTATTCTTCACCATGTCCCAGAGTTGCACAAACTCATGCCCAGTGAGTCGCTGATGCCATCCAACCATCTCACCGCTGTTGTCTCCTCTCCTCTCTTCAGTCTTTCCCAGCATCAGGGTCTTTCCCAATGAATCAGCTCCTTGTGTCAGGTGACCAAAGCATTGGAGCTTCAGCTTCAGCGTCAGTCCTTCCAATGAATATTCAGGACTGATCTCCTTTAGGATGGACTGGTTGGATCTCCTTGCAGTCCAAGGGACTCTCAAGAGTATTCTCCAACACCACAGTTCAAAAACATCAATTTTTTGGCACCTCAGCCTTCTTTATGGTCCAACTCGCACATCCATATGTAACTACTAGAAAAACCATAGCTTTGACTAGACAGACCTTTGTCAGCAAAGTAATGTCTCTGCTTTTTAATATGCTGTCTAGGTTTATCATAGTTTTTCTTCCAAGGAGCAAGAGGCTTTTAATTTCATGGCTGTAGTCACAGCTGCAGTGATTTTGGAGCACAAGAAAATAAAGTTTGTCGCAGTCTCCATTGTTTTCCCCATTTATTTGCCACAAAATGATGGGACCAGATGGCATGATCTTTATTTTTTAACTGTTGAGTTTTAAGTCAGCTTTTTTACTCTCCTCTTTCACTTTCATCAAGAGACTCTTTAGTTCCTTTCACGGTGAGGGTGGTGTCATCTGCATATCTGAGGTTATGGATATTTCTCCTGGCAATCTTGACTCCAGCTTGGGCTTCCTCCAGCCCAGTGTTTCTCATGATGTGCTCTGCATATAAGTCAAATAAGCAGGGTGACACTACACAGCCTTGATTCACTCCTTTCCCAATTTGGGACCAGTGTGTTGTTCCATGTCCAGTTCTAACTGTTGCTTCTTGGCCCACATACAGGTTTCTTATGAGGAAGGTAAGGTGCTCTGGTATTCCCATCTCTTTAAGAATTTTCCACCGTTTGGAGTGATTAACACAGCTAAAAGCTTTAGCATAGTCAGTATAGAAGAGGTAGATGTTTTTCTGGAATTCACTTGCTTTTCGATGACCCAACAGATGTTGGCAATTTGATCTTTGGTTCCTCTGCCTTGTCTAAATCCAGCTTGTACATCTGGAAGTTCTTGGTTCACACATTTTGCTAGCATATGATATGTGTAGAGTTGTGAAATGAGATGGCATTTAGTGTTAGTTGCTCAGTTGTGCCTAACTGTTTGCAACCCCATGGACTGCAGCACACCAGGCTCCTCTGTCCATGGGATTTTTCAGGCAAGGATACTGGAGTGGGCTGCCATTTCCTTCTCCAGGGGATCTTCCCAACCCAGGGATTGAACCCAGGTCTCCTGCACTGCAGGCAGATTCTTTACCAACTGAGCTACAAGGGAAGCCCTTGTAGATGGCATTTAACTCCCTAGTAAATGTTCACCATATATTACCTCCATGGGTTTTCATGACTCTGTGAGGTGGGGATTACTATTATCACCTCAATACTTATGCAACTGCAATTCTTTGTGTAACTTGTCTAAAGGCTCACAGTTAGTTAGAGGAGAACCTGGATTCAGATTCAGAATCTGCATTACATTTTTGAGGGTAGGGGATGAAACATATCCATTTAAATTCACAGACCACAATTATACAACCAGATGTGTTTTGAAAAAATGTTCAGTTCAGTCGCTCAGTCGAGTCCGACTCTTTCTGACCCCATGAATCGCAGCACACCAGGCCTCCCTGTCCATCACCAACTCTGGGAGCTTACTCAAACTCATGCCTATTGAGTTGGTGATGCCATCCAGCCATCTCATCCTCTGTCATCCCCTTCTCCTCCTGCCCCAATCTTTGCCAGCATCAGGGTCTTTTCCAATGAGTCAACTCTTTGCATGAGGTGGCCAAAGTACTGGAGTTTCAGCTTCAGCCTCAGTCCTTCCAATGAACACCCAGGACTGATCTCCTTTGGGATGGACTGGTTGAATCTCCTTGAAGTCCAAAGGACTCTCAAGAGTCTTCCCCAACACCACAGTTGAGAAGTATCAATTCTTCGGCGCTCAGCTTTCTTTATAGTCCAACTCTCACATCCATACATGACCACTGGGAAAACCATAGCCTTGACCAGATGGACCTTTGTTGGCAAAGTAATGCCTCTGAAAAAATGTACATACCTATAAAATCACCATATCATTAGAAATATAGAAGATCTCTAACATCCTTGAAAGCTCTTCTATACCTATGCCTGAGCAATCAGTCACTTCAGTCATGTCCAACTCTGTCCAATGCTATGGACTGTGACCCCCCAGACTCCTCTTGTCAATGGGATTCTCCAGGAAAGAATAGTGGAGTGGGTTGCCATGCTTTCTTCCAGGGGATCTTCCGGACTCAGGAATTGAACCTACATCTTTTGTGTCTTCTACATTGCAGGCAGACTGAGCCACCTGGGAAGCATCTCCTATAAGTTCAGGTCAGTTCAGTTCAGTCACTCAGTCGTGTCTGACTCTTTGCGACCGCATGAATCGCAGCATGCCAGGCCTCCCTGTCCATCACAAACTCCCAGAGATTACTCAAACTCATGCCCACTGAGTCAGTGATGCCATGCAGCCATCTCATCTTCTGTCGTCCCTTTCTCCTCCTGCCCCCAATCCCTCCCAGCATCAGGGTCTTTTCCAGTAAGTCAACTTTTCGCATGAGGTGGCCAAAGTATTGGAGTTTCAGCTTCAACATCAGTCCTTCCAGTGAAGACCCAAGACTGATCTCCTTTAGGATGGACTGGTTGGATCTCCTTGCAGTCCAAGGGACTCTCAAGAAGCTTCTCCAACACCACAGTTCAAAAGCATCAATTTTTCGGCGCTCAGCTTTCTTCACAGTCCAACTCTCACATCCATACATGACCACTGGAAAAACCATAGCCTTGACCAGATGGACCTTTGTTGGCAAAGTAATGTCTCTNTCATTAAAGATTAAATTGTTTCTTCCCAAGATCAAGGATGAGGCAAAGAGGTATGCCCACCACTTGTATTCAACATAGTGCTATAAATGCTGGCGAGTCAGTGCAATGAGACAAGAAAGGGATATAAAAAGCATATAGATCATAAAGAAAAAAATAAAAAACTATTCGAAGATGGCTGACTATCTATGGAGAAAATTTCAGGAAATCTATTTTAAAAATCACCTAGAAAAAAAATAATAAAAAAATAAAAATAAAAATCACCTCGAACAAGTGAGTTCAGCAAGGTAGTAGAATACAGGATGAAAATTTGGGGGCGACAAAGGATGAGATGGTTACCATCTCATGAACTCAGATCATAGTTCCGTATGATGAACTTATGATCCTGCATAACAATGTGGATTCATAGTAACATAGAATCTTGGTGTTAGAAGGAATCTTAGAAGTCATCTAGATTAGTATTTTTCAAAGTACAAATGATGACCCACCACCGAGTCATGAAATGAATTACAACTAGTATTTTTAATAAAACCAAATAGAAAACAT